CAGTAGGGCCATGTGGTTTTGAAATTCTGAAATTTTAACACTTAAATCTGGAGGGATTTCTGCCAAAAGCCACTGGGTTTAGAGATCTGCTCCTGAGTCTCTGGGATCATGGCCGTTGAGCAGCTTGATGAGGAGCCAAAGAGGCCATTTGTGGGCGATGACTTGGGGTCTCATTGGGGTGGGGAAGACAGGCCCGGCTCCACCTCCTCCCCCATCCCGTGAGACCCAACAAGTTTCGTTACTGCGGGCCCAAGCCTGACTGTCCAATGGCCTCTGGAGGATGACAGCCACAAAGTCGCCAAGAGGGAGCAGGCGGAGGGACAGCACCCATTCCCCCCTGGGGTGGTCTGGTGACAGTAACCTACTGCGGGGTCCGGACACATTTCTGACAAAAGCCGCTGGGTTTCGAGATTTGTTTCTGAGTCTCTGGGATCAAGGCCACTGAGCAGCTTGATGAGGAGCCAGAGAGGCCGTTTGTGGGCGATGACTTGGGGTCTCGTTAAGGTGGGGAGGACAGGCCCGGCTCCACCTCCCCCCCTCATCCCGTGAGACCCAACAAGTTTCGTTACTGCGGGCCCAAGCCTGACTGTCCAATGGCCTCTGGAGGATGACAGCCACCAAGTCGCCAAGAGGGAGCAGGCGGAGGGACAGCACCCATTCCCCCCTGGGGTGGCCTGGTGACAGTAACCTACTGCAGGGTCCGGACACATTTCTGACAAAAGCTGCTGAATTTCGAGATTTGTTTCTGAGTCTCTGGGATCAAGGCCGCTGAGCAGCTTGATGAGGAGCCAGAGAGGCCGTTTGCGGGCAATGACTTGGGGTCTCGTTAGGGTGGGGAGGACAGGCCCGGCTCTACCTCCCCCCCCCATCCCGTGAGACCCAACAAGTTTTGTCACTGCGGGCCCAAGCCTGAGTGTCCAATGGCCTCTAGAGGATGACAGCCACCAAGTCGCCAAGAGGGAGCAGGCGGAGGGACAACACCCTTTCCTCCCTGGGGTGGCCCAGCAACAGTAACGTACTGTGGAGTCCAGATGCATTTCTGCCAAACGCCACTGGGTTTTGAGATTTGTTTCTGAGTCTCTGGGATCATGGTTGTTAAGCAGCTTGATCAGGAGCCAGAGAGGCCATTCGTGGGCGATGACTTGGAGTCTCGTTGGGGTGGGGAGGACAAGCCCGGCTCCACCCTCATCCCGTGAGACCCTGTGTGTCTCGTCACTGGGGGCCCAAATGTGACTATCCAGTGGCCTCAGACGGATGGCGGCCACTGGGCCGCCAGGGGGAATAGGCCAAGGCACAAAACCTGTTCCCACCTGGGTTGGCCCAGCACCGGTAGCCTACTGCAGAGACCAGACGCATTTTTACCTAAAGCCACTGGGTTCTGAGATTCGTTTCTGAGTCTTTGGGATCATGTCCATTAAGCAGTTCAATCAGGAACCAAAGAGGCCTTGCCTCCAATTATATAGCTGAGCCGGAGGTGGTTTGTGGGTGTGTTTCCCACATACCTAACTTTTGGCCGTTTACTTTCTTGGTAAACTTTGCCCCCAGTTTTTGGGGTCTGGCCAAAGGCACAGCAGCAATTTTCGGGTATCTGGAAGTCTGAAGGCGCCATGAGGCTGCTGATGCACTCACCTCACAGGCACAGATTGACCTGCTGGCGGCACCATACGCCCCTCCAATTTAGTTTTTGAATCTACCTAATAGTCTTTACTAATACTGTAATGTAATCTTGTATACTTTGTTATAAGGCAAATAATCTGAAATTAAAGGGCAAGGGCATATATATAATTCTATTCAAGCTAGCTTCAAGCATCTTAACATGACAACAAGAAAAGTAACGTTTTATATTGAAGATACTATTTCATAGGACTGGAGCGATAGCACAGTGAGTAGGGTGTTTGCCTTGCACATAGCCGACCCGGGTTCAATTCCTCCATCCCTCTCGGAGAGCCCGGCAAGCTACCAAGAGTATCCCGCCAGCACAGCAAAACCTGGCAAGCTGCTCATGGCATATTCAATATGCCAAAAACAATAACAAGTCTCACAATGGAGACGTTACTGGTGCCCACTCAAGCAAATTGATGAACAACGGGAGGACACTGCTACAGTGCTACTGTTTCATATAAAATCTGCCCCTTTTCCTCTGTCATATACTTAGCTTAATGGGTTTTTTGTTTGTTTGTTTGTTTGTTTTTATTGAATCACCGTGAGAACAGTTACAAAGCTTTCAGGTTTAAGTCTCAGTCATACATTGATCAAACACACCTATCCCTTCACCAGTGCACATTTTCTACCATCAAGAACCCCTGTATATCCCTCCTCCCACACCTTCCCCTGCCGTTGTGGCAGATGATTTCCACTTTATTCTCTCTCTACTTTTATTACATTCAATTTTTTGACAGAAGACCTACCATTATTATTTGGAACTTCCCCCCAATATTCAGACCTGCCGAAAAGGCATCATTAGATAATTCGTTTTCTATTGCTAATATTAAAGAGCATATGATGTGGTGCAGCTGCAATAGTGGCCACGCAATTTTGGATTTCTGATATTTTAGTAATTAAGTCCAGAGGGATTTCTGACAGAAGTCGCTGGGTTCCGGGATTGCTTTGTGTGCTACTGGGATAATGGCCATTTTGGTGCCGGAGGAGCCGTTTTTGGAAGACAACTCAGGGTTTAGTCAGGATGGGTAAAAATGTCAGTTCCACCACCCATCCCATGAATTCTCCAGGCCCCAAACCAAGCCGATATCACTGGGGTGCCCCAGATGGAGCAGATGCAGTCTCCCTTCCTTCTCATTACTGTTTTTGCAGTTAAAACAAGTGTGTCAGATTCTCATTACTGCAGGTTCGTGCCGCTCAGTCCAATAGGCTCTGAGAGATGGCGGTCACCATGCCATCAAGGGGAACAAGGCAGAAGGGAAAACACCCCCCCACCGGGGTGGCACGCAGCCGTAGCTTAATTCACAGTCCAGAAGCATAAGCCATAGTGAGATACTGTTACAAAACTTTACTGTTTGATATTCTGCTATACAATGATCGATCACCCGTCCCTCCACCAGTGCAAACTTTCCACCACCAATATCCCCATTATCCCCTTCATTTCCATCTCAGTCCTTACCATGCCTCTACAGCAAACAATTGCTCAGATACTCTCTCCATAGTTTTGGGCATTGTATTTTGCTTGGATATTCCCACCACGATTCAAACCTGCCTTCTAGGGGCAGACGCTAGATCATCTATTTTCCATTGCTTACTTTGTATATCAGAAAAGGTCATGTGACCATGTAAGTGGCCGTGCAGTTTGGAGGAATAGTCCTGGTGCCCACATAACCAGAGCCATGCTTGTAGAAGCTCATGGTCACCAGGATTCCACCTGGAGAAGGTGGGGAGTCTGTACCTGCTCCATCTGGGGCACCCTGGTGATATCGGCTTGGTTTGAGGCCTGGAGAATTCTTCGGTGTTGTGGTGCCCCACGGGTTTCTTCACTGCTGAATCTAGCTTAATGTTTTTGAAAATTATTTAAGCTATCGCATTCAGTGAAAGAAACAAAAATACTTAGTAAAATGTATTCTCATAATTAAAGTTCAAGGCAAAAATTAGGAAAGACTGTTTTGTGACTCCATTCCTAATTAACTGATGTGCTGCATGGTCTGGAGTGATAGCACAATGGTAGAGCATTTGCCTTGCCGATGTGGCTGACCTGAGTTTGATTTCTCCGCCCCTCTCAGAGAGCCTGGCAAGCTACTGAGAGTATCTCGCCCACATGGCAAAGCCTGGCAAGCTCCCCATGACGTATTCAATATGCCAAACACAGTAACAACAAGTCTCACAATGGAGACGTTACTGGGCCTGCTCAAGCAGATTGATGAACTGTGGTACATCAACTGTGGGGGGACTGTGGTACAGTGCTTGCAAGTCCATCTCTAGCCAACCCCCTTTGTCTGGCTTGTCAAAGAACATTAGCTGAGACAAATCTAGGAGTCACTTCCTGGTTCTCCAAAAGACAGTCACCAACTAAGACTCATTTGTTAAAAAACAAGCTTTGCTGCTTAAGTTATGATTGTGCAAAGTATATTTCATACATCATAATGTGGGATTGATTAGCAGTAATGGAAATTGGTCCTCAATTTTAATGATCAATAGAGAAAGCTCTCAGCTTTTACTACAAATAGATTACAGCATGCCAATCACAGCAAGAAACAGCCCTTTCAAAGACAGTTTTCAAATTGCTTTAGCGTATGGATGGTATTCTCCCAGTGATGCAAAGAAGGCCAAATCCAGCTGTCCTATGCAGGCAGGCTGACATCTTACTGACCCCATGTGATTGATCTTCTAATTGGTCTCTGCAAATCAGGTGTAGACCATCCTCAGAGACTTTAAAATAGTCATCAGAATTTGCGGCCTTTGCTGCCTCAGGCAGGTCCTTTGTCTCTGTCTTAGTCTCCACATAATATATATATATATATATATATATATATATATATATATATATTTTCACACCCCACATTCACACGTGAGCTTGTTCTACAGTCACATTCCACACAGATACACATCACACTTATGCACATATTCTACACTCCCACAATACACATACCACAGATAAGCACACGCTCATACCATATGCACATGCTTCACATACCATGTTCCCTACTGCACATGTGCCGCAATGCATACATGTACACACAGGACACTCATCATCATACTCTACCCATCCACATACCATAATATCACATACAAGATGCATACGGCACATGTCATACACTCCACATACTATGTGCACCACATAATTCACACACCTTATGCCTGCCATTCACTCACATATAAACATAAACTTCATACTTAATGAACCCACATATGCGTCACAGTAGCCCAAAGGACAACAGTGACCCAGTGACAGTGGAACTGCATGAATTTAAATACAATTTTTACTTTCTTGAATATTTTTAAATAGTTTCAATAAGTAAAGAAAAAAGGAAATTAAAATTCTTCCTGTCTTCTAGAAGTGAAAAAGTGACTGTAGCCTCAAATGATGATGGGGATCAGTTTTTCGTTGAACAGTTCCAGAAGACTATGGCAGATCTTGATGAGGACCTGGAAGGTGAGAAGTGGGAAAAAGCCTCCCTGCACACTGACATTAGCTGCTTAGTGGTATACTTGGGGGTCATGTATCCCTACCATGCTCTGCATCACCCAGAGGATGGTGTGCAGAAGAGACTATAATTAAGTGTGGAGCAAGCTGGATTAAAGAGCAAATGTAAATCCATATAGGGTTTCTGGAGTGACATTTTGGCAGCCTGTTCTGAGCAGTCCATGCAAATCAGTGGGCCTGTGTCCCTCTGCTCTTCCTGGCTTGCTACACCTTATAGGGCCAGTTTTCAGATAGTTGCCTCAGATTTGGTCAGCTCCCCAATCAACTAGAGCGAGGCAAACTTCAAGCCCCCAAGCCCCTCCCTATTCTATGTTGAGGTAGTGTTTTCAGGATTTCGATTTAGACATCTGTGTTTTGAGTGGAGGTGATTGACAGGAGGTTGACCCCAAGAGCCTCAGCTTAGAGACACCATGGACCCGCGTGTAGTCTACCAGTAAGTATTATAACTTAGAGTTAAATGTGCCCTGGTTGTGTATAAATTACAGACTGAAATAGTACTCTAAATTATATATAAATTTCAGAAAATAACTTTCCATTACCCAGGGAAATCAAAGTCAGGGCACAATTAGATTGTGTTGAGCAGAGACCTTTTACAAGAGTTGCCAACCTGTTACCTGTGTTTGCACCTTTTGCAGAAAAATTGCAAGAGTGTTATGAAACAGACAGCAGTTCTCTGACCAACTCTATAAACGAGGTACCTAGCTACAGTGCCCAAGAGGGCAGAATGCCCAACAGTGACGCAGATGCCATCCCAGTCACGTTCATCGGGGAAGTTCTCGATGACCCTGTGGAATCAGGGGTGCTCTCCAATAGCAACAACAATGCTGGTTCCTCTGACACAGGTAGCACGTCCAGGAGAGCTCCCCAGTCTCCAGACCGGACAGAGCAAAATCAGCAACTGCAAGCTGGTAGGAAGAAGGCAGAAGTGAAGGACTCAACTGCTTCTGCCCACCACTTGGGAAAGGAGATCAGGCTGCCCTTATCCAGCACCTGTAAAGATGTGAAGCCATCTAAAGTGGAGCACAAGGCGACTGCAGCATCTGTGCTCCACACACACAGCCTGAAGACAAAGGAGCAAGACCGAGAATCAGACAATGGGAAGCAGCAGGGCCTGGAGAGGGGGACTTCACGTTCTTCTGTACAGGAAAAGGATGGTGGCAATGAGAACAGAGCCTCAGCGCCACCAGCATGGTATCAACAGAACCAAAGCCCAGGGAGATGTTATGGGCTTAAATGTGGTCTCACAACTTATAAAATTGTCCCTCCAAAGTCAGATATGAAGTGCTATGATAGAGGAGTATCCCTTACCACAGGCGCCATCAAGATTGATGAATTGGGAAACCTGGTGAGTCCCCATGCCAATAGGGGCAGAGCCATGGCCACAAAATCTCCAACTCTGGAAGAAGAACTGCAGCCCATTGGGAAAGTCAAAGAATTCTGGAGGTCGAACTCTGTGGAAAAGCACTCGGGTAGGTGCACAGAGAGCTGGGCCAAGAGAAGCCCAGTGACCACCCCAAACATGGCAGAGAGCAACCCCAGAGCAGACCCCATCTCTCCTGACCCCAGAGTGAAGGTGCCTGAGCAGCATCAGCCTGGCCAGCAGGAAAATGGGAAACCCATGAAGGATAATGGAAGCCAGCCACCTGTGAGAGCCTCTGGCCATGGGAGAGCCCCAGCAGCTAATGTCACTGAATTCCCCTTCCCCAAGCCTCAGAGAAGAACATCCAGTCAGTATGTAGCCTCTGCTATTGCCAAGCGAATAGGACCATCCAAAGCCCCCACTCAGGTGGTAAGGAAGCATGATGATGTCCAGAAGACCCATGAAGAAGGAGTGCCTGAGCTTATGGGGCAGCCCCCCAAATTCAATAACAGTCCAACCCCCAGAGCACGGCCAGAGACACTCGTGCATGCACATAAAGATGATGCAAGATCCCCCCACAACCACCTCCCCAGCACCAATGGGGAAGAGCTGATGTTTGGAATGCATCACAGAGAGCAACCTAAGAATTCACTTGGAAAGCTGTCTACTCAAGACAATCCGTCCGGTACCCAGAGAAGAGCCTTTGTCCAGCCAGGCACCTATTTCCAGAATGACAATGTTTCTGTGGGACAGAGCAGTGGAAAGCCCCATGCAAGTCCCCATCAGGTTTCCTCAGAGTCTGATCTCAAGCACTTGCCAGGTAGTCAGAATCCCCCGCCGCCTCCCTCAGAGGACCAGACTCTTGGCAGGGTCCTAATGAACAAATCCAGGCAGGTCCCAGTCTCCAGTGAGCCTCCTTGGTCTCCAGCCGCATCTAACATCAATGGCCTCGCCAGGCAGGAGACCCTCCAACAGGAGAAAAAAACTAACATGTCATGCATAGATGTACAAGAAACTGATGACACTTTGACATCAGACATCTTTGGGCCAAAGAAAAAATTCAAACCTGTTGTCCAGAGGCCAGTCCCCAAAGATACTTCACTGCACAGCGCCCTGATGGAAGCCATCCACTCAGGAGGAGGGAAAGACAGGCTTCGCAAGGTGAACCCCTATTGCCGAGCTTCCCCTCCTCCTCCTCCTCCTCCTCCTCCTCCTCCTCCTCCTCCTCCTCCTCCTCCCTCTCCTCCCTCTCCTCCTCCTCCCTCTCCTCCTCCTCCTCCCTCTCCTCCTCCTCCTCCTCCTCCTCCTCCTCCTTCCTCTCCTCCTCCTCCTCCTCCTCCCTCTCCTCCTCCTCCTCCTACTTCCGTGGGTTGAGGGGTGGCAGAGACCGAGATTCTAGGATAGCATTTCACATCTCTGCAGGTTTCATTAGAACACAGGCCCTGTCTCACTACCTTTGGGGTATTTGAGTCGCACCACTAAAGAACAGCCACTGATGTTTCAGTGCTTGTCATGCTGACCTGGGGAAAGAGGTCACCACAGAGAGTCCACCGAGACTTGGGAAGTGGTGAGCACAACAGCTTCTGGACACTCAGCATACGGCTAACGGAGTCTCTCCTAACCGCTCGCGCCAGGGCAGGACTGGAAGCACTTGGTTACTCTTGCAAATGAGCAACAGGCACACTGAGGTCAAGAGAGTGTGGCTGAGGGTCATCCACCAGGTTTCTCACCCATTTCTGACTCCAGAAAGGGAGACAGAGAAACAGGAGTCTTAGGAGGCCAGCGTCTGCCAGAGAGAGACCATTATCAGTGTTACTCTGTACACATGAGGCTTGATTTCATAAATTATGGCCTTAACAGAAGCTTTAGTCTTCCCTAAAATATGGCCATATAGTTGAACTGATAAGTTCCAGGATTGTTTGTGTACTACCTGATGGTATCTCTCCATCTTCTGAATAACATGTCTGGGCACTTAATATTTTAGACCGCAGAGCACACCTCAGAGGGAAAGCCAAAGAAACCATCGTACACGGAGTCGGAGAGTGAGCATTCAGCGCTGATGGCAGCCATCCGAGGCCACGGGGGCACCTGCAGCCTGCGTAAGGTAAGAGGTTGGGCGGGTGAGCACCCCCACTCCCCTATCCCCTGAGCCAGTGCTGCAAATTCAGGCAACTCCCCACCTTGAAGTGGATGATAAGCCTACGTAGGAGCTGTCCAGAGAGAAATGAGCACCCCAGCTACTCTGCCCCCTGCTGGTGCACCTAGCATGGAGCGTGGGCCGGGCCCAGGCAACCTCCCATGCTTCAAAGCTCGGAGGAAGAAGTGAGCGCTCTGCCCGCCCTCTGGAATGCTTGCGCCTCTCAGGAGCCAGTGTGACTCAGACCATGGCAGCACTCTGACTCCTACTTCCACACGCCAAGCCGAGAGAAGAGACTGTGCTCCCCCTGGGGCGTGGCACACACCCCATATAGCCTGTATCGGAATGGCACACACTCTCGGGGCCTGCGCTCATGCCAAGTCGAGGGGTGTCATCAACTTCAGTCAAGCAAACCACTCCATGGTCTCCCTAAAGTGGAGACTGTCTGGGTACCAAGTTCTGGGGGTACATAGTCACTTCATTGTCTCTGCCAGGTGTCGTCTACTGCCTCTGAGGAGCTCCAGAGCTTCCGTGATGCCTCCCTGTCCACAGCAGGGGCAGAATCTCCTAGACGGGAAGACCTTGGTGTCCACCACCAACTCCCTCCACGACCTCCACTCCTTCCAGCCCCCCAGGCACCCTTAGGCCCCCTCAACAACACCGCAGATGCCAGGCAGGCCTTGCTGGATGCCATCCGCTCAGGCACGGGAGCTGCAAGACTGAGAAAGGTGATGATGGGACAATGTGTAGGTCTGGGTGTGGGAACACAGGAAGACTGAGGGCGAGGGTGGCTGAGCAGTGTGCTGTGTCCTAGTGACCCTAGGAAGCTGCCCTTCCATCTGGGTCAGATATCAGCATATCCTCTGCCCCAACATATACCCCTACAAGCTCCTAAAGACACAGGGAAGGACTCCCCACACCCCAGCCGCTAGGCTCCCCCCTTGCCCACATGCTGATGCCGGGCCCGACTGGACAGAGTCTGAGCCTGAGGTTGGTCCTAAAGGTTGGTCCTAAAGGTAGTGTCATACCCAGAGACATGGAACTATCAGCGTGCTTTTTCTCTATGCTTCTCTATACATTTGCCACAAAGTGTTTACAAATGATTGCTTTGGCTGGTCCTTGGGCAGAGCACTTACTTTCTAGGCCTCTACTTTCTGCTTCCATCCATTTTTCTACTGTGTGCTGAAACCCTTCCTGGCCTGTGAAGATGGTATATTTTTGGTTCCAGCTGGAGTCCCTCATGACAAGGACACGGACTGTGTGACTCATAGGATATCGCCCAAGTGCCAGGGACCCTAGCAGACACAGAGCTACTCCTTTCCTGCCTCTCTCTCATGGGCTGGGGCATCATGCTAGTAATAATTAGGCTACTGATAGGTATTATTTTCTGAGAGATAGTTCTCTGATCCTGAACTTAGCTTTCACACGTACCTGAGGAAGTCAGGATTAAGGGCTGGAGAGTGAGTGCAGGGTAAGGTGCCTGCTTTGCATGCAGCTGACCCAGATTCAGTTCCTGCCACCCAATGTGGTCCCTCAAGCCCCATGAGGAGTGATTCCTAGCACAGAGCCAAGAGTAAGCCCTGAGCAGTGCCAAGTGTGGCCCATAAACAAGCCAGAAGGAAAGGCAGTGTTAAAATGATCCTAACTTTAGGAACCAAGTGAAAGACTTAGAATCCCTCATCTTTGTGGACGTGCCAGCATAGTGTAGACACCGCCAGGTAGGCTCTGAGCACCCAGAAGGGAGCAGCTCCCTCAGAGCATCAGGTGAGGCACAGGGCCAGACCACCATCTCTGCTACTCCATCTGGAGCTGTGCACCGGGAGCAGAGACCTGGGGACTCAGAACTAGCTCCGTTCCCCAGGTGATGGCCAGGTCTCGGGGCAGTCAGTGACCAAGGTCACAAAGCTGCTTGCTTCCTGGGATGCCACAGACATCTTCATGGGTCACATTCTGTGCTTGGGACAGAGCTGCTGAAAAGGACAATTTGTCAGGTTTTCTTTTCTTCCCTTCATTTGTGTCAACTGTATGTATTGATTAACCTACATGCTTATATGTATCATTTATGTGGCAGGAGGCCCCCAAGCATTGCTCAGGGCTTTCAGGTTACTCCTGGGGGTTCCTGGTCTGACAGTGAGAGATGGGTGACGTGATAATCAAACCCAGCAGTGTTGGGCGCTGCAGTGATCACCCCACACAAACCAGTTGGTGCTTGTATTTCTTAAAATAAGGGGGAAATGACTAAATTGAGAAGAATAACTAGATAAGGTCATAAAGGTCAGATAGCGTGACCAGCTGACTGCCTGTGAGCTTGTCTCTGGAAGGGTCCCCAACTCAGTGTCTTCTATTGGCCCTGAGGGCTTGGCTGCTCCCCAGTATGCTGCTCAGTTTCTAAAGCAATATTCTAACTGCTGTCTACATCTTGGGTCATATAGGATTCAAAGCTTTGAATCTACAGATATGTAGTCATCAAGTATTTACCAACAGATTTTACATCAAAATATGAGAAAACTAGCTATCATTTGAGCTTTCGGTCCATTTTTAATAACTGTAAATGGAATTTTAAAAGGCTAATTGTAGGGGCTGGAGTGATAGCACAGTGGGTAGGGCATTTGCCTTGCACGTGGCGACCCGAGTTTGATTCCCAGCATCCCATATGGTCCCCTGAGCACTGCCAGGAGTAATTCCTGAGTGCAAAGCCAGGAGTAACCCCTGTGCATTGCTGGGTTTGACCCAAAAAGCAAAAATAAAATAAAATGAAAATAAATAAATAAATAAATAAAAGGCCAGTTGTAGACCACACTCTGTATTCTCTTTTTTAAATACTTTTTTTTACATGAAAGATGTCTTAAATATCAAGGCACCATGATTTACCTTGCTCTCCACAAGGTAAATCAAGGCACCATCATTTACCTTGAGTTTCAGGCATCCCGTGCTCCAACACCATCCCACTAGTGTCAGCTCCTCCTCACCAGTTTCCCCTGGGGCCCTCTCACCAGCCTATATGCCTCCTTGACAGGCACATTTTTCCATGTTATTATATTATTGATCACTACCTATTTATCCAGGGCATATACATTTCATTTTTTTTTCTTTTTAATTACTGAAAACTGTGAGATACAAAGTTACAAAGCTATTCGTGATTGGGTTTCAGTCATACAATCATACAGTGTTCCAATACCCATTATTCCATCAGTGTACATTTCCCACCATGAATGATGAATGTCCCAGTTTTCAGATACTTTTTCCTTCTCTCTCTCTCTCTCTCTCTCTCTCCTCTCTCTCTCTCTCTCTCTTCCCCTATCCTCCCATCCTTCATTTTCCTTTTAGGCACTATGGTTTGCAATACTGTGACTGAAAGAGTAGCATGCACATCATTTACTTCCTTTTATCTCTCAACTTTTGTCCAAAGTGATCATTTCCAGTGATCATTGGCAGGCATAGTGGTCCCTTCTCTGACCTAACTACACTTGTCTACAACTTGTGGTAAGCTTTCTACCATGGATCAGCCTTCCTGGCCCTCATTTCTAACTGTATTTTGGTATTATTCTCATACTACTCTAACAGTCTGCAAATCAGTGTGAACAGTCTATGTTTGTCTGTCTTCCACTGACTCATTTCACTTAGCATGAAACTTTCCTTGTACAACTTTGTATAAGCAAATTTCATGACTTAACTTTTCCTAATGTCTGCACAGTATTCCATTCTGTAGATGTGCCATAGTTTCTTCCTCCAGTCACTTGTTCTCAGATACTTGGGTTGTTTCCACATTCTGGCTATTGTCAATAGTGCTGCAAAGAACATAGGAGTACAGATGGTTTTCCTGCTGTGTGTTTGGACCCTGGGATATGTTTCCAGGAGCAGCAGTATTACTGTATCTAATGGAAGCTCAATTTCTTTTTGAGGAATAACCATATTGTTTTCCTAAAAGGCGGGAGCAGTCATCATTCCCACCAACAAAGAATGAGAGTCCATTTCTACCCACATATGTACAAATACTGATTGTTCTTGTACTTTTTGATGTGTGCCAGTCTCTGTGGTATGAGATGAAATTTCATTGTTGCATTGAATAGCATTTCCCTGATGATGAGTGATGTAGAGCATTTTTCTTTTTTTTTCTTTTTTTTATTGGATTACTGTGAGATACAGTTACAAACTTTCATGATTACATTTTAGTCATACAATGATTAAGCACCCATCCCTCCAGCAATGCACGTTTTCCACCACCATTGTTCCCAGAGTCCCTCCCACTACCACCACCCCATACTACCCCCTGCCTCTGTGGCAGGTACATTTTTTCTTGCTCTCTCTAATTTGGGGTGCTATGATTTGCAATACAGATACTAAGTCTTAGTCTACTTTCAGTTCACATCTCCCATCCTGAGTGATCCCTCCAACCTTCCTTTACTTAGTGGTCCCTTCTCCATCCCAACTGCCTACTCCCCCAGCTCATGAGGTAGGCTTCCAACCATGGAACAAAATTCCTGGCCCTGTCTCTACTGTCCTTGGGTGTCAGTCTCATATTATGATATTTTATATTCCACAAATGAGTGCAGTCCTTCTATGTCTATCCCTCTCTTTCTGATTCATTTTATTTAGCATGATACTCTCCACGTCCATTCACTTCAATGCAAATTTCAGGATTTCATCTCTTCTAACAGCTGCATAGCGTTCCATTGTGTAAATGTACCAAAGTTTCTTTAACCAGTCATCTGTTCTCAGGCACTCAGATTTTTTCCAGATTCTGGCTATTGTGAACAATGCTGCATAAACATACAAGTGCAGATGTCATTTCTACTATGGTTTTCTGTATCTCCAGGATATATTCCCACTTGTGATATTGCTGGGTCAGATGGGAGCTCAATTTCTAGTTTTTGGAGAAATGTCCATATTGTTTTCCAAAAAGGCTGGATTAGTCGGCATTCCCACCAACCGTGAATAAGAGTTCCTTTCTCCCAGCATCCTCACCAGCACTGGTTGTTCTTGTTCTTTTTGATGTGTCCCAGTTTCTGTGGTGTAAGATGTTATCTCATTGTTGCTTTGATTTGCATCTCCCTGATGATTAGGAATGTAGAACACTTTTCATGTGCCTTTTGGCCATTTGTATTTATTCTCTGAGGAATTTGATGTTTGTCTTTTCTTCCCATTATTTGTAAAGGCTTCCAGTGTCTTTTATATATCCAGTGTCCCTTGTATATATCCAGTGTCTATATCCAGTGTCCCTTGTAAAGGCTTCCAGTGTCTCCTATATATCTAATATTTGTCACATCCATCTCTTCCTACTCCCCACTTTAGTTTCTTTCCTTTCCTGTCAATCTCATTTCTATGATCTAGGTCAAGGACAATCTGAGCATTCCCCTCTTTTATACCTATTCATTTCCGCCATCTTAATGTCTGGTTTAGGAAACTTTGTGCAATAGAGATTGCACACTCAGCCTTAGAGCAGCTATGAGGAGTCCTGACTCAGAGATTTGTTGGTGCCAACAGAGCCTGACCCAACACAAAAAATTCAAACTTGAATTTTTTATCTCTCTCAGAGTACAGACCACTGCCATCCAGATTAGAGAGAAAGAGAGAGAGAGAGAGAGAGAGAGAGAGAGAGAGAGAGAGAGAGAGAGAAAAGTATGAAAGAAAGAAAGAAAGAAAGAAAGAAAGAAAGAAAGAAAGAAAGAACAGAAGAAAGAAAGAACAGAAGAAAGAAAGAACAGAAGAAGAGGGGGGACAAGTAAGC